TGTTCCCAAGATCCCAAAATCGTTCCCTTACTGGCCCTTTTCCATCCACCACATTGCGCACAAGTTCATGCATGAACTTGAGTGGAGAGCCATATTTTGTTGACATGCTCCTCCTTGAGGATAGGTCCATACTTAGGACCTTCCAATTCCAATACAAGTGGTGATATACTTGGCCACTAATAAAAGTCGAACTAAAGAACAACTACGATACCAAGTTGTAAGCGACTAAATTTTCCATTTTACTTTACTCACTTAACCACACTTCCGACCACTTGGAGGAGTCTTACTCACAACCTCCATAAGTCCTATTTTGGACTTAAGGACTTGCTATCCCCAAGAATGACATCCAAGCCCCTCAACCATTGCACTTGGTCCAAGTGCTCCACATGTCCGATCCCATGACTAACACCCCAAGGTACCACCGACATATCAACCTGTTACGCTAAAACCATGCCCCTTCACCTTGGTCACACCGGTGGTCTAACACCACCTACATCACAGTCCCGTCTCTCAAAAACTGGGCCATCCGTCCATGAGTGATCATCCCAAATCCACTCCTTAGCCTCCTTAGAATACCCACATACATGGGGAATAGCCTTCCCCAATATCCCTTTTCCAGTCCCCACCAAGACTCTTTCTGCCCATGGCTGTGTTCGCCAACACTACCACTAGATCGAGGCCCACAAACCTAACCACTAAGTCCCACGAGTTGGGACTTCTTTACCACCCAATTGTATCCTTGGTCACTACAACAGAGGACTGTTCCTCTTCCTTTCCACAGTTTGAGCATTTGGGACAATATTTTGGAATACCATGGCCCTACATGAGCTTCATGGGTACTCTCCCCGCCTTCCACCTTTGGGTGCTCTAGCCATGGGCTTAGAGTGAGGTTCCTTTGAGCCACACCAGGTATCCAAGTAGGTAGTGCCACCCACACTTGGACTGGGAGCATCGACCATTCAATCTCTCGAGGGAACTAGAGTCAACTCCTGAACACTTCACCAAACTACCCTGCTTGTCCGTCTATATTCACTCTAGTTTTGGATTTCCCAGTGGTTATCCCATCACCCAACACCTGGGTACAGCCTTCCTAGGACAAACTAGCCTTTCTTAGCTAAACTGGCTCCACTGGAGTCCTCCCCCTACTATACTTTTGGAGCTCACCAAACCCCCCAGGGTTTAGGAGATGAATGCTTTGGGCTTTAACCCCCTCAGACTCGAACTCGAACTCAAACTTAGACTCAAACTAGGACTCGCAATGAAGTACGTCTTTGGTGGCCACAAAACAACAGTTTTGACGTGGAAATTGACCAGGAAGGTAAACTTCACCTTTGCTTGTTCTTGTTCTCGACCCGCGCCAATGCGGCATTCTTGATGGCGTGGCTCAGCCGGGGCGATGGCGATGGCAATGGCGATGATATATCTATAAGGTGAGAAGAGTTAGATGAACTAGGAATCTCCATTATAAAAAATAATAAAAATAGAATAATATTTAGCACGAGACTCGGACTCGGACTCGGGCTTGGGTTTGGTCTCAGCCTCGGCCTCGGTCTCAATCTTGGTCTCGGTCCTGGTCTCGGTCTCGGTCTCGGTCCTAGTCTCGGTCTCGATCTCGACTTCAGACTCCATCTCAGGTCCTTCTCGGACTCCATCTCAGATTCTATCTTGGGCTCCATCTCAGACTCCATCTCGGGTCTATCTCGGATTCCATCTTGGGTCCATCTCGGACTCCATCTCGGGTCCATCTTGGACTCCATCTCGGTCCATCTCGGACTCCATCTCGGGTCCATCTCGGACTCCTTTTCTGGAGACTCACTTATTGCTTGCTTTATGCTTATTCCTTGAGCACTTCGTTGAGAGTTCCACTCCCGCTCTTGACCTTTCAAGTCGAAGCTTTTAGTCCAAATGTGTTACGTTCGTTTGGCTTTCACTTCGGCCACTACCACATGGCACCCTTTCGGCTCCACTTTGGGGCCTAGGGATTTTGTGTCTCACAGGTCCCATGAGTTCAAATATAAAGGGAAAAGGGCCTATGAATAAAAGTGCACCCCTTTTTCCAATCAATTAAGGGTTTTGGGATTTTTAAGGTTAACTGTTTATGGGTTTGAATAATATTGGGCTAGGTGACCTCTCGGGAAGTCCAAATTCAAGAGCTTAAACAGTGTTGATTTCTTACTCATGGGAGTTGGGCCTCTAACTCTCTTCCTATATCCCTGTGGACAGGGATATATCATTCCTTTGTAAGCCAAATAGTACTTAGAACAGCAAAAGTGGTTAACTTTGTTAGTTATTTCCTTGTCAGTGACAATCAAAGGGATGTATCATTCCTTTGTAAGCTAAATGGTATTCGGAGTAGCAAAAGTGGTTAACTCTATTAGTTATTTCCTTGTCGGTAACAGTCAGAGGGTGTCTAAGTCTTAATGTTTTTAGATGTAAATAAGAGGTAGTTTCATAATTCATTTAAGTTGGTGTGTTTCCCATATAGTGTGTTTTCCATTAACTTTTGGAGTTGTTGGGGGGTTTTAAATGTATAGTAGGGATAATGGTTGAAATGTGTGTTCGACCACTTAAGATATTAGTTTTGCTCCCTTTGAGCTATATCTTTTTTTATTATGCGTCCAACTTGGGTCTAAGCCCAAGCTCCACGCTGCTCTAGTTGGTTAGGTATATGCAAATACAAATGCTGCAAATGCAAACGCTGCAAATGCTAGATACAAGGAGCTGGTGCTTGTAGGATTGAATGTGTACTAGACCCTTGTTTTGTAGTGCAAAAGACTTGGAGTTCAGCTCCAAATTTAGATGCGCTACATAACTAAAACATTTTGAATGCAAAAAGTAATAATTCTATATGTTTGTATAAACTTTTAATTTTAAAAACTACTCACTCAATATTTTATTGTAAAGGTTGTATTAGAAATTAGAAGTTTCTTCATAAATAGATTAAATTTTTTTTTCTCTAAACCATTGATAATTAAATTTATGAACTTTAAATTCACAAAAAAATAATCTTTTTTTAACATCATATTTCCTTGTTTTTTTTTAGCTCATGAGCTAAACTCAGCTTTGGACCATCCCCTCCTCAGTGATACTAATAAAGCTTCTAATGAAGAACAAATCTAAGTTACAGGTGTGGAGGTTGGGTGTTTGAGAACTTGATTCGTTTCTTAAACATATAGGTAAAATATAAGGTGAAAACCTTAGTCACAATCATAAAACAGTCATACTTACCACATTATAAAGTTGAGATTTTTTATGGTGTTGTATTAAGATTATTAGTGGTCTCTTACTTGAGGAATAAAACATTAAAGAGGCAAATTCAATCTAGAAGAATTGTAATACATGGAAAAACTATATCTATTTCTTTAGCTAGTATAGCATTATGTCTTTTCATCACCATCTTACTATTTTGAGTTGTGAAGGACAATTAAGAAACAAAACTAAAAGATAAGACAGAAATATCTACTAATGTTTGATATTCTTGAAACATTTTGTTGTCTATAAGAAATGCTATAAAGTCTTGAATCACCAATGGATATTTGCTTGCAACTAAGGCAAGAGATGAAAATACCCACTTTAATACCATAAACTATGTGGCAAACTATAATGTCAAGTAAAATGATTACTATTACAGTTATGATTTGTTTGAGACTTTATGAGGAAATAGAAGAAATTATACTTATTGAGTAGGATAAGGTATATAATAATGTCATTAATTTTAATGGGTTAACAAGAAAAAAATAAATTGGTGTGATAATAATATATATTTAAAATAATATGATTTTTATATCTATAATGAAACAAAAAATAAATGCTAAAAATGTTATAGTTTTAAACAAAAGTATAAGAATTTTTTTTATAGAAGCTAAGGTTGTTAATCATACTAGAGTAAGAAGAGTTTTGTAGAAAACACCATAATTGTACAAATATTAAATATTATAATTACTAATATTTATTTTAATGTAGATCATCCTATTTTCTCAAATAAATACACAATATAAAAACATTCCACCTAATTTAATTTTTTAACAAATGAGTTTATAATTAACTCCCATATTCTCAATATGCACCTATGATTTTGACACTATCCTTTATAGTAAATTATAGGCTAATAATATAAATTGAACAGTCAAAGGTTAGCACAATGTTAAGTCCCCACCATAAATCAAATAAATAAAAATATTGTGTTTAGAAAATGTATAGGAAGTCAAATTTTATTAAAACAAAATTTCTCCTATATTTTTAATTTTCTATTTTTTTTATTTATATTTTTCCACCAAGCTTAAATTCTTACTTAATAATTAACGTTAGTTAAAATTTTATTGTCTTTGATAGATTTTTATTATAGTAAATTCAAAACCTTTTACTATTCTATCATCTTTGTTTCATATGTTTTAATTTAATTAAATTGCATAATACATGTCTTAACATCTTTAATCTTTTGAGTGATCATGGTTTTGTAAATGTTACTATATAAGGATTACCACTACTTAATCCTACTAAATTATAAATTTTTTAATGCCACTGAGTTTTTTTAAAGCCATTCTTTTTCAAGTGATTTTAGAGGGCAATCTTATTTGTTTGAGTTTTTTTTTTTCTTTTCTATTAAATTTAAAAGTAAATTTCTTTATAATTTTGCAAAAGCATTGAAGCATGATATTAACCCACACATTTAACCCTTTAAAGTCAATTTAGTAAGGCATGGCTGTTTAATCTATTGACAAATTTTAAGGGTAATTTGTAAATATGAAAAAAAACATTTAATTTCATGGAAGTTAAAATATAACTACTATTGGCATTCAATCCAAATACTGTTTTAACTTTCTAGATAATAGTTCTATATATATGATTGAGTCTATATTTATTTCAAATGTGAATTTTCAATTATGTAGGTTATTACATTGCTTAAATATTTTTATTATTATTTTCATTTAAAATAAACACGAGCTTGTTTGGCAAGGGAATCGAACCGGGAATGCCTGTGTGTGGGAAGCTCGTCCTCTACAGGTCTAGACACACCAGAGTGTGAGCAAGCACGGGGTTACACTAACCCCCCGCGACGCCACCCGTAGAGGAGATCCCCCCACTCTGCCCTCCGATCTCACGCTCGACACCATTTCTTCCCCGCCCAGGGCGCCATTGGGAGTGCAATGACACCAATTGGATTGCGAGAAGGATGATCCGCCAGCGCCGGATCACGCGCGGCCTCTAGGGCTTTTGGATTGGAGTCAGGGATTGGGATTCTACGGGCTGCTGCTGCTGCCAGGGAGATTTCTATCGCTGTGGCCAGGTATTTCGATCGATTTCCTTCTCTGCCCTGCTGCCTCGTTTGAGAATAGGTTTTTTAGGGTTTGTGGGGAGAGTAGGGGTGTTTGAGAGGGAGGAAATCCTGCAATTCGAAGTGGCAGCGGCTGGCCAGGGGCTGTGAATCGCAGCACATCCTCGGGGGGTTTAGGGAATTGCGATTTGGGACGTGGGCACTGGATGCCCAGCTACGATTTGGACGTTGATATTCGACGAATCAAACAGGAATAATATAGCTCGGGTGGGGGAGTTCCAGTGTAGAGGCTCTCGTCTGGGCTAGTTCCTTCGTTGGATTTTTTTTTTTCTCTCTGGGAGGGAGCTGGTGCAGGGATTGGATTTTTTTTTTCTCTGGGTTCTTCCAAGTCGCAGTTTCTGATGGAGATATATTTTTTCTAGCCACCAGGAGGAAGTAAGTTTGATGGTGGCGACTCGGTGTTCATGGTAACTTTGGATCGAGGAGAGACCCTTGGTCAGTGCCAGGGTCGCGATTCATAGTCAATGTGGAGGAAGGTTCCATGGGCGGAGGATCTGGTGCTGCAACCAACGTAGACAGCATACCATCTCCCCGCCGAGCTGCCATAGACAAAGCTCAGGCAGAACTCAGGTACTGTTTGTTTTTTTTTTTTTTTTCCCCTGCTCTTTTTGTTTGTTTTTCTATCTTTGTGTATGAACTTTGTTCGTTTTTTTTTCTTTTTGCTTTGTCGCAGGTTAGAAGTGACTGTAAGAGAAGAGCTAAGCAAAGAGCTTGATTTCCTAGAAAAGGTAACTAAGCTTGTGAGTTCTACTGTCTCTAAAACTATTTTTTGTTGTGGTCCCTTGTCACACAGGGTGGAAATCCGCTAGATTATAAATTCGGTGAGTCGCTACTACCTCGTTTTGCTGCTCAAGTGTTGTCGAGGTAAGCAAGCTCGCTTAAGCTCTTCTTGAGTGTAGACAATTTATGCTTTGCTACAGTGAACTAGACGACTTGTGTGCCCGAAACACAAACTGTTCTTCCCTCGAAAATGGTAGATACGTAGAGCAGGAAACTGCTAGTTGCCGTGTGACGGGAGAGGTTCTTGAAAACGGCTCGGCAGAGACTCCTGGACATGTCAGTGACGGGCCTGTTTTTAAACACAGAGATCACGACGAGGTTCTGGGGGTTGAAGGACGAAAGAATCAGACGTCTACGAAAAAATTAAAGCAGAAGGAATTCGGCAATGGGCACGCGGCTTCAAAGTATCTTCCCTGCGACACGGATCAGTCATCCATGTGTAGATTTCAAGTCCCTCCAACGTGCTCTGCGGATGTTCAAGAGGTTGGAACTTGTGTTTCACCGGGAAACGATGGAAGCGTGCAAGACGAACGCAAAGAAAACAAGGACATTTCGGATGACTATGCGAGACAAAAAGCAATGGAACAGTCTACAAACGAAGAAATCAACCCTGCAAGTTCTGCGGAGGCTAAGCAAGACGGGAAGGGAGTAGAGGAACAAAGCGAAGGCGATAAAACTCGAGATGTAGCACGGCCTTCAGAACCGTGCCCTTCGGGACTTTCTACGGATGCATCGGTACAGAAAAATGAAGCGTCAGACAAACAGAAACCAGTTTCTGAGAAAGCGCAAGAAGATATGATCTTAGAGGCAGCTGAAACTATCAAGGTACTCTCTTCTTTGTTTATCTACGTTTTGTCTTACCGTTTACTTTCAAAGGCTGCCCAAAAACATACGATGGAGTTTTCAAGACACAAGCCTGGTTCTGAACCAGCAAGGCAGAAATCGCACTGGGACTTTGTTCTGGAAGAGATGTCATGGATGGCTAATGACTTTATGCAGGTAAAAATTTGAACTTCATTTGTGCTCTTCATTTTAATAGTCTGTCTCATTACAGGAGCGCTTGTGGAAGACAGCGGCTGCTGCACAGGTTTGCCGCTGGACGGCTCAACGGTCGCAGCAGACAAAGGTTGCCGATACTGATTTGAAGAAGAACAAAAAGAGGATCGCGCATGTACTGGCAAATATCGTGACAAGATATTGGCAGTCAGCGGCTGCCTTGACGCAAAAGCCTGACGAGTTGTCCATCAAGAAAAATGATGATTGCGAAGCAGTTCCTATGGACGTAGATGGTCCTGCGCCGACGGAAAAGCGTCGTCCCATCCACAAGTATGTCATGCGAGCGTCAACTGATTTAGAGCTGCCAAAAACTCCTCAATTTGTCCCGGATAGCTTGTTTCTCATGGAGCAATTTCCCGAGGTACGTGTCACGTAGTTATTTTACTGTTTGCTGACAGTATTCTCCTTGCAGGAAAGCTTGGTTTTTATCGTGTCGGACGGCGCCTTGGAGACTTACCGGCTTTCTATTGAGAAGAACTGGGATGCTTTTGTGAGTGTAAGTGCCGCTGTAGGACTGCTACTCTTGTTGCTCAGTGGTTTGTTGTCTGCAGGAGAAGCTTTTACAGGACAGTCTCAACGATCAACGTTTATCTGGCATGTGTTCTGAGTTAGACCTGTATGGAGACGATTCAAGGTCGTTTGGTAGTCGGACATCACCAAAGCTACCTGACGATGATTACGGGATGCACTACATGCCGGGTGACTTGACCATATCAAAGAAAAAGAGGAAGAGAATTCTCAAGGCGCAGACACCTAAAGCTTACGACGGTCTGTCACAAGGTGGTTATTGTGATGGGAGTAATCGGCTCGCATCGCCCGCGAAAAGGCCTACCGCTGGTGCAGCTAGTTCCATCGGAGTTATTCCTACGAAACGCATGCGAACATCAGCAGTAGTTGCTCGACAACGTGCAGCGTCGACTACATTGTCTCCTGGTGCACACAGAGGGAACGCGTCCTCGGCTTCCACGAACTCCCAGCAGGAAGACCTCCTTGGATTTCCTGACAGCCGAGCTAGTGAGGGTGACTCCGTGGGTCCGAGAAAGGGTGGGCTGGGCACAAGCTCTCTCCGGTTCAAGAAGAAGAAGAAGACGAAAGCTTTCCACTCCGACTTCTCAACGGATGCTATATCGAACTCTCATCTTTCAAAAGTACGTACTTGAAGGATTTGTTTCTTCTTACCTGATAGATGTTGTACTTGCAGACTGACGCTGAACTTAATCAGCTTGAACAGGTTCGTTTTTTACCTTCTACTCTTGATTTTTCTGGATTGGTAACCATGTTGAACATAAATTGCAGGACCAGCTCAAACGCAAAAGTGACCAGTACAGTCCACTGTCATCCGAGCATGGTATGGTTTTCTCTGCCGTGTGTGTGTGGATCTTAACTATTCTTGAGCAGATACACCTGGGACACCAGGGTCACAAGGTGTTGTCAGTATGCATCCTATGAAGAAATTGAAATCTTCAAAGCATTCTCCTGACTTTGCGGAAGCTGGGCCTTCAGCAACCGGTCTCAACCTGACCACTTCGAGTAAAATTTTGAGACAAAATAGCGCTCGTGATAGAATACGGCGAAACAAAGCGACCAAGGTATGGGCTTGTACTTTTGTTTATTTTCTATGCTTATTAGTTTCCTAAACAGGGCTTCATTCAGTCGTCAATCAATCCTCCAGGAGTTGGTATTCCCTGGTCAGCTACCGAGGATCAGGTCTAGGATTGTTTTTCAGCCTTTTACAGTTACTAAAAACCTCTTGTTTTCTCAGGCAATTTTGGCACTTGTGCATGATCTTGGTCCGAATTGGGAGCTTGTAAGTGACGTATTGAGCTCCAGCTCCCAGCTAAAGGTACGTAAACATCACTAGTCCTTCGAAGAAACAAACAAAAGTGTTCTTTACAGGGCATTTTCCGGAAACCAAAAGATTGTAAAGACAGACACAAGTCTCTTTTGGACAGATTATCCAATGATAATGGAGACAACGATGAGCCGGGAACATCAATGCCGAAGGTGACCGTGGTCACTCTTTTGCCGCATCTCTCACTCGTGCCCGATCTCTTTTCCCAGCAGCAAAGTACGCGTGTCTTCTTGCAACGTTTACAGGGGCCGATGGAAGAAGACACTGTAAAAGTGCACCTTGAGCGGATTGTGAATATTGTGCAGGCTCACCGCTCAAAGCAGCAACAGGTTTTTCCTCACTTGGATACGTACCGGTTTCCTAACGTTTATATTGTAATTTTATTTTTTCTTGCAGAACGACACGTTAGAAAACCAGGAACTTTTACCTGTGCACGCATCTCATTTAAGTACAGCATCTCAATTCAGTCTGTCCGGTGTGCCTCTCAGGTATTATTCTCTGCAAAACTTTTCAACGTCGTTCACTAACTTTCGTCTTGCATTTAGTCCTTTGGATCTTTGCGAGCATCCGATGTCAAATGGAGACATCCCTGCGCATGGCTATTCACTGCCTCAGCACCCGGGACTCAACATGCCAGGCGTTATGGCACCTAATGGCTTGCGACCAAACTCGGCTGGTCTTCCTTTGCTCCCACATCTGGGTTCTATGGTCTCTCCAGGCTCCGCTGCAATTAACGCGGCTGCTGCACGGTATGTTGTTCTCGATGTTCATACTTATTTTCAGTTGGCCTCTAAACGCTTTAACTGCATTTCAGAGACGCTCAAAGGATGGCTGCTTCGATGCGTCCCTTGTCGGCAGAGGAGCAGAGGCTACGGTACACTCGGATGGTTACGGGACGTAGCTTGCAACCTCAAGCAAACTCCCCTGGTAACTTGCCAATGGCAAGTTTGCCAAATTCAAGTGACTGCTCAATGCCGATGCTACCTTCTGGTAACACAGCAGGCTTGATGGGCTTGAACAGAGGCGGCTTGTCGCTACCGAGGCCAACCATGCCGGGCATGATACCACCAGGACCTTCACCAGGACTGATGCCTCCCGGTGGAGTTGCTTTGCCCGCGTCAGGTTCCATGATGGCAGGTGGTATACCGAGCCCTGCGAATTTTATGAAACGGGCAAGAGACGCAACTCAGCTGATCCGGGTAAGAGCTTTCAGTTGACATGACACGCTTAATGCCGCTGCGTCATTCTTATGCTTCTTAAACAGTCTGGCCGCTGCACGGAGGAGCAAAAGCAGCATATTATCCAAGAGCTGCAGCACCAAGCTGCTCAAGGTAATCCTCAGGCAGTTGCTGCTTTGAACACTCTAAGTTCAAACAACATGAACCTTTCCAATCCAATGGTCTCTTCACCAACTCAAAGTTTCGCACCTCAACAGCAGCAACATTTGAGCCCGCAGCAGCAAAGCCAGCAGCAGCAGCACCAGCAGTATTTGCAAGCGGTCCGTTTGGTCAACGAAAGACAACAACAGCAGCAGCAACAGCAGCAGCAGCAAAAAAGAATTTTCCAGCAGCCAAACAACTTGTTGCAGCAGCATCAGCTTGGAATGTTGACACAGCAGCAGCAGCCTTTGCTCCCGTCCCAGCAAGCGCAGCAGCTATCTCCGAGCCAGCAGCAGCAGTCGCCGGTGTTGCCAGGAGCGCAACACCCGCAACAGCCAACGCCAGCACAAATGGGACAGCTCTCAGGCCAGCAAAAGGTACAGGTACCAACACAAAAGCAGTCATTAACAAAACAACCAAGTTTCCAACAGCAGCAGCTCTTGCAGGTCCAGCAACAATCCAAAGTGGGTAAGAACAACGCGAGCGGCCGGGGAGTCGCAACACACTCAGCTCTGATGCCGGGGAGCCAGCAAACAGCCAACTCTCAGCTGCCAAGCCCGCCAGGAACGGCTCAAGCTGGCCAAGCGCAACAAAGAAGTTTGGCGATGCAGCAAGCCGGGAAGCAAGCCAGCATGAGCCAGCCTGGTAAGGTTTCGGGACAAAGCCAGGGGGGACAACTCACGCAAGGCACCGCTGGACAAACTTCGCAGCAAAAGAGTCTTCAGAAGCAATCGCCGCAGGGAGCATCTCCGGTGCCAGCAGCTCCGTCGACGCCACCTCCGCAGCAGCAAACTACGCCGGCTACTTCAGCTGCTGCACCGCCAGCTTCTCAACAGCCAGCTTCGACGACTACGCAAGCTCAAATCCAACGAAGGCAGCAGCAGCAACAACAACAACAGCAGCAGCAGCAGCAGCCACAATCACAGCAAGCTCCACAGGCTAGAAAGTCACAGCAAAAACAGGCCAGTGCGCTACAAGCCCCTGGGAAGAACACTACGCAGCCGCTGGGTGGCTCAAACACGGGCAGTGGTCCCATGAGCATTGGAACCAGCAGCTCGGGATTGCCTCCTCAAGCAGCGTTGGCTCCGAGCGCAGCGGGGTCATGGAAACCAGGCCAGAACTTCCCCGGCATGTACAATCTAACGAGGAGCACCAGCGGTGGCGCTAACCAAGGCAGTGCCAATGGAAACGGTGGAGTGGCACAAAACCAAGTTGGCACAGCAGCGAAGCTCGGTATTGTCCCGGCTGTGAATGGGAGAACTCTGGCACAGCAACAGCAGGGAAGTGGTGCTGCTCAAAGGCCTGTCCAGCAGCAGCAGCAGCAAAGCTTACCAGTGCCAGTGCCTGTCCCGACGAACACGATGAATTCTACGAGAGCGGCAAGGCCATCCTCGGTGCTTCCCAGCTCGCCATCTTTCCCAGGAACGCCGGTGCCAAGTTTGAGTCATGGTGTACAGGTAATGGAGATAGCTCTCATCGTTTGCTTCTTTTATATTCGATCGCCCATCTTTGTTCTTGCAGCCAAGACAAGTCCATGGCGGAGCACAAAGGCCAACGACGAACGGTTCTAGTAATCCGTCAGTGACCGCGAGTGCCACTGCTGCTCCTCCAAGCGTTGTAACATCCTCGAGCTCCCCACGGTAGCGATCTCTCCAGTGTAATTTTTGCTGCTTCCAGCCCACCCATTGTTTCTTCCTCTTCCTCTCTTTTTTTTTGCGTTCTTCCTTCGCTTTTCTTCCGAGTCTGATTTGCAGGCTACCCGGCTGACTTTAAACTTGGCTGCTTGATCGCTGCTGTTGTTGTTTTGTTTTTGTTTTTTTTTTCGCGCTGATGGATGAAAAAAAAGAGAGAGAGACACCGACGAGAAGAGGACGACGCTGTTGTTGCTGACGGGTTTGTATTGTATTGACTTTAAACTTCCTTTTGAGCTGAAGGCCAGTGGGATGAGTGTGTATATTTGTTTTGCTTTTTTTTTGGGAGCCCAAGTTCCTGCTAGGATGTATCAGCAGAAATTTGAAAACAAAAACATGAAGATTTTTGCCTTTCAAAAGATATAATAATTATTTACTGACCTTATTCGTCTATACTAGTTCTAAGAAATCGTCATTCTGATGACAGTCACAAGCATTCCGTGTTGAAACTTTCCATCTTATTGCGAATGGCACCGCCCAATTTCTTCTACTCAGGCTCAGGCTCAACAAAACTGGAAGAGATTCACGGATCCAGAAGCCATGCAGGTAGTAGATAGAATAAAATTTCTTGAGATTAGTGATTAAACAACTTAGCCCAGATAGAATGGAATGCTTGAACAAAGATGATGCTGTCAAGGCAGTCGATCTCGCAGAGAAGAAGTTCATGCTCCACGACTTGGCAGCAGCGAAAGATTTTTGTGTCAGGGCCTTGCAACTCGACCCGGGCCTAGAGCGTGGCAAGCAGATGCTAGCGGTGGTGGAAGTCCACGCTGCCGCCGCCATTCGTCACCATTCTCTAATAATCTTGCCTAACGATCTGTTCGGGATTGGTGATCACGACTGGTACGCGATCTTAGGAGTGGATCCCCGCGCGGACGATGATAGCATCCGGACGCAGTACCGGAAGATGGCACGTTTGGTCCACCCGGACAAGAACAGGATGAATGGAGCGGAGGAGGCTATCAAGCTCGTCAACGAGGCCATGACGATTCTCTCGGACAAGAACAAGAAGATGATCTATGACAGCATCAGGAGCTCACTCCCTTCTACTTCTAACGATGCGAGTGCTCCTCCTCCTCGGACACCGCCACCACCGCAGCCACCTCCTTATGGCACTCCAACTTTTGTGGCGCAGTGCCCATTCTGCATGGCGCAGTGGTGGTACTATAAGACGTTTGAGAACTATGTGCTGCTTTGTGCTTGCTGCCTACGGAATTTTATCGTGGTAGACTTTCACCACCTTGCATGGGGTTATCCAGGGAGCGATTCATGGTACCAGAGGCAAGAGGAAGAGGCTACTATGAAGAGGCGGGAGATGGAGTGGGAAACCATGAGGATGGAGAGAGAGAGGGAGGAGGAAAGGAAGAGAGAAGCCAGGATTAAAGAGGAGGAGGATATTTGGGCAGAATTCCTGAGGATGAAGGAGAGGGAGGAGGAAAGAAGGAGAGAACCCAGGATTAGACAAGAGGAGGATGAAAGGAGGAGAGAAGCCAGGATGGAGGAACGGAGGAGAGAAGCCAGGATAAATCAAGATCAGGAGGAGGAAAGGAACAGAGAAGCAAGGATCAAGCATGACCAGGAGGAGGAAAGGAGGAGAGAAGCCAGGATAAATCAAGAGGAGGAAAGGAGGAGAGAAGCCAGGATTAAGGAGAGAGAGACCAGGAAGCAATCAGAGATGGATCAGAGGACCAAGCAGGGAGGGGCCAAGTCTACAAATGGAAATGCAGGGTTGGTGGCGGTGATCGTGGTGCTGCTAGTTCTAGGCAAGGGATTCATCTTGCCCACAGCACTACTGCTAGCGCTCATTCTGGTAGTGTTCATTCTATCTATCAAGCTTTGAATATATGCGATTAAGTTAGCGATATTATATACTCGTGTTAAAGCCAAAACATTTTCCTTTTTAATGTCTCGTGAGAGATATACTATGCCAAGACGAAAACAAAAAAAAGAAGAAGAAAAAAAAACAATTGTTACTCACTAAAAAGTTTTTTAATAAATAAATAATCCACCCGGCGGCCATTGGATTTAAGGTCTGGCACAATTGGATCGTGCAAGGGACGACACAAATCTGACAAGTAGGGTTTGCAGTGGTTTGTGTTGCGCAGAGGAATCGATTCATAAACAGTTTCCCTGCTGAAAATTCTCTTCCTCCATCTGATACTTCACGAGTGGATTTTTAATTCTTCGAGCATTTCTAGTGAAAAAAAAAAAACCCTTTAATACCCTTTAGAAAAAGCAAAAAATTTACCAAAAAGGGATTAACCTAGGGATGGCTGTCAAGGCAGTAGAGCTTGCGGAGAAGTTGTTTATGTTCCATGACATACCAGCGGCAAGAAGGTTATGTGTCAAGGCCTTGCAACTCGACCCCGGCCTAGAGCGTGGCAAGCAGATGCTAGCGGTGGTGGAAGTCCACGCTGCCGCCGAGGCTCGTCACCATTCTCTTCTCTTGGCCCAGGTCGGGATTGGTGATCACGACTGGTACGCGATCTTGCGACTGGATCCCCGCGCCGACGATGCCACCATACGGACGCAGTACAAGAAGATGGCACTGGTGCTCCACCCGGACAAGAACAGGATGAACGGAGCGGAGGAGGCTTTCAAGCTCGTCAACGAGGCCTGGACGCTTCTCTCGGACAAGAACAAGAAGATGATCTATGACAGCATCAGGAGCTCACTCCCTTTTACTTCTAGCGGTGTGAGTCCTCCTCCTCGTCCTCCTCCGCCACCGCCGCCACCGCCACCACCTTACGCCACTCCAACTTTCGTGACGCAGTGCCCATTCTGCAAGATGCAGTGGTGGTGCAATAGGACGCTCGAGAACACTATCCTGCTCTGTTTCCGCTGCCAGTGGACGTTTCTCGGGGTGGATCTTTACCACCTTCCATGGGCTTCCAGAGCAGGAAGAGGAAGGAGGTGGCGGCGGAGTGGTGGGCAGAAACGATGAGGAGATGGAGAGAGAGGAAGAGAAGCCAGGAGGAGTTGGGAGGAAAGAAGCCAGGGTTGAGGAAGTGAGAAGAAATATGGAAAAGAGAGAAGCCAGGATTAAGCAAGATAGGGGGGAGAAAGAAGGAGAGAACCCAGGATTAAGCAAGAGGAAGGAACCGAGGAAAACCAGGAGAAATCAAGAGGAGGAAAGGCAAGGATTTAAGCATGAGAAGAAGCAAAGGCCAAGTCTATGGAAAGCTGTATCTAAGCTTGGTGGCGGTGATCGTGGTGCTGCTAGGCAGCGGCTTGCTAGCGTTCATTCTATAGCAAAAGGTAGTGTGCATATAAGCTTTGGTTACATTCTATTATTGCATGGTTACAAGAAAAAATGATAGGAGTGATAGGAAGGATGTCATACTCGGCTTAAATCAGTGAAATGCTTTCTAAGCCAAAAAATTTCTTTGTTTAGTGTGTCGTCCCACTGACATAAATACGGCCTCCTCCAAGACCTTGAAGAGTTTTCCTGAAGGCTTGCTGCTAATGTATAACATCTGAGAAGAAAAGAGCACGAAAATCCATCCATGAGAAAGAAAAAAATTTCCCACTGCTGCTTACCACTCGAGCGCTTGAAAATTGCCTTAACTCCCTGCGGAATAGAATCCTGTAACTTAGAAACGTAAAAGAAAAACAGTGTTGCAAAGAACCTCCTCTCGTCCCCCTCCTCCTCCAAGAGATCCACTCCTCTATCATCTGTTAACGAAGATCAAATGCGATGGCGTCGCGGCAGTGTCGAGCTCCCAGCAGCTGTGCGGAGCATTGAGCTTCTCAGTCCCGATCATCCAGTGCGCCGGCACCTTGTGCGAGAACCTCAGCAAGTCCTTGCTGCGAAAGCTCCGCAAGCTCCCGGCCCCTCTGGCAAAGATGGTCTTGTATCCCTCCACCTTGATCAGCGACACCGCCGTCAACCCCGCCGCCTCCACATACGAGCTCACCACCTCCACCATCTCATACGAAACTTTGTCCGGCCGAAGCTTCAAGCTCCAATCCTTGTACACGGCCCAGATCTCTCCCTGCTTTGGATACACGCTCACGACGTTGGCATGAATCCTGTCCACTTGCATCAGGTGCGAGAACTTGTTGAAGTGAGCCTCCGTCTCGGTCTTCCTCTTGCACTTGAACTGGCCGCAAGTCACCGTGAACCCGGCCGCCTCCCACTCGTCCGCCTCGTCCGAGATCACGTAGCGCTCCAGCCAGCGCAGCCGGACTTTGAACGGGTTGAGCGAGACCAGCTGCTTGATCTCGCAGTAGAAGCGCGGCATGCCGTCCGTGTCGTCGTACAGAGCCCACACTTGTCCCTCGCGGACGTAGCTCTCCTTCCTGTCCGTGTCGAAGTTGTAGAAGTCGGGGTCCGGGACGAGGAAGTGAGATTCCTCCTCGACGTTGTCGTCCTCGGGGGATGCCGGCTCCAAGTCCGGTTCCTGTGCCTCCATCGTCTTTGCTGGAGTTCGGTGCGCGTCCTCGTGCTGCTGCTGCTGTAGCTCCGGATTTATCTGCCGTGGTTCTTCCTGGAGTTGCCGCTCTTGGACTCGTTTCTTGTCCTCCTCGGTCGAGACTTTTACTTGCAAGCTTGGATTGCTTCCGGCAGCGCAGGGCTCAGCTTGTTTCGGCAGTAAGTTCTTCTTACTGCTCGTGGAGTCCTTCGCTGGCAAGACGCTCTCGGTAACTGAGACGTTGTTCTCGGATTTTTCGCACGGCCGGAGATGTGGCGAAGTCTTGGCGGCAACATTTGCATTCTCGGGAGGTTTCTTCGTCGGTATACTCTCCGTAGAAGGGATGCTTTGTGGCACCACACAAGGCTCCACTGCTTTTGAGGTTGCCTTCGCACTTTCTGGTGCTAAGCTGCTCTTAACTGCGACCTCCCTGATCACTCTCAGCGCTTCCAAAACGTGTTGCCTTCCTTTTACGGCCAGCTCCTGCCGGAGCAGTACTTGGTCCGGAGAGAGCTTCGCCTCCTCCATCCTGGCTCTCTTACTCGGGTGCCCGTCACCATCTTCGTCATCATAGTCGTCGTCTCTATACGTGACATTCTTCCTGGCTCTGTTAGATCTCCGCAAGCCGAACCTCAGGATCTCAGGAGGTACACTCTCCTCAGCGTTTCTAGCCTCGTCACTTTCCTCATCTTCGTCGTCATCGTCGTCATCATCGTCCTCTTCCTCCACCCTACTCTTCTTAAGTTTCTTTCTAAGGGCCTCCATATTCTTCTTCCTCGCCTCTTTCTCCTCTTTCTCCCTCAGCTTCGTCAGCTGCTTCTCGAGCAACTCTCTTCGCCGGTCCTCCTCTTTAGCCTTCTTCAACGCCTCCTTGAGCCTCCTCTTCTCTTCTCGCTCCCTCTCCCTCTCCGCCTTCTTCCTCTCCTCCTCTCGCCTCTTTTCCTCTCGCTCCCTGGCCCTTTGCTGCATCTGCTGGAAAGCACTGCTCTCTCCGTTAACTCCATTGGCCCCATTGGTGGTCTTCTTCTTCGCTGCCTTCGCAGGCCACGTCGACGTTTCCACCGGAGGAGTTCCGATATCAGTGGCGATGAACCCCGTTTGGCAGCGGTGACAAAGCAGCTGATAGTTCTCAAACTTCCTGTAGTACTGGTACTGAATCTTGCAGTTCGGGCACTGCGTCCAAAAAGTTTGCTGGGTATTCGCACTAGGAGGCGGAGGAGGCGGTGGCGGCGACGGGGGAGGATCTGGAGTAGTTGCAGGAGCAGTCGTCGCAGGAGCCTCTGGCTGAGTTGAGCAAGAAGGCTGTTCAGTAGCATATCTTCCATTCTCCGGCTTCTTTATTCGAGAGCTCCTCTTCACGTCATACATGATCTTCTTGTTCTTGTCCGAGAGAACCATCCAGGCCTCGTTGATAATCTTGAAAGCCGGCTCCGCTCCGACCACCCTGTTCTTGTCCGGATGGAGCATAAGTGCCATCTTCCGGTACTGCTTCCTGATGGTCGCCTCGTCCGCACAGGGATCCACTTGCAAGACCGCGTACCAGTCCTCGAGCCCGATGTGAGAGTGATGAGCAGCGGCATGGACTTCCACCACTGCGAGCATCTGCTTGGCACGCTCCAGGCTCGGGTAGAGCTGCAAGGCCTTGTTGCAAAACTTCCTCGCGGCGACGAAGTCCTGCTGCATATACTTCTTCTCGGCGAGTTCGGCTGCCTTGACAGCATCATCTTTGTTACACTCCATACCACCACTATTTACTGTTCCCTGCTGCTCCCTCTAAGAAAACTAGATCTATCTACGCGAACTTACTGCATTAGAATGGCTCTTCTAAACAGCAGCCCCGAGCACCAGAGAGTTTCCATGAACTTCCCAGCTTCCTTAAATCCTGAGAAAAGAAAAGAGAAAGTAAGACCTCTGCTAAGAACAAAGCAAAGAAAACCAAACGACAAAGTGTCATGGATGATATATAGGTATGTGACTGGAGTGTAAAATAACGACCACATCCATGACGCAAGTAAGCCCTAGAGAGATAGCAACAAACCAAAACCATCAAAAACCCACCTCGAGCTGTCGCGAATTCCCCAAAACCCTCGAATCCTGGAGTGGAATCGAGCAGCGCGGTGGCGCCGAGCGAGACGAGCGAGGGAAATCCAGGAACCCTAGCGTAGCGCCCGCCCGCTGTTAAAACCCTAGAAGCGCCGCGGAGGAGGAAGCTCGCCGGGCCGGGGAATGGAGGCGGGGATCCGCGATGGCGATGGATCGAATGGGACGAGGGCAGCAGGCGGCCACAATGCAGGGGGATGGAGAGAGAGAGAGAGAGAGCACGGCGATGGCGCCCTCTTGCGCCAATGGAAAACAACACTACTTTTTTCTAGCAGCTTTGTGAACTTACCCACGGTGTGAACGCATTAAAAGGGATTTTATTAAAAATTGTATAACATTAATTGTTTTTTCGGGGAAAAAGGTTGTTTAAAATAGCGAATTTTAAAAACTTGTGGAAGAGGGTAACGTTTTGAATTGTTGGGGCGCCAAATCTCAAAGGAGGCATCATGTTCTTTAATTTATTTATTATAGATAATATTATTTTTATTAAAAAGTTAAAATTCAAGAATTAGCCAATTGTATCATTGCGTATACAATTGGTTGATTCCAAAGAATATTTATAAGTTAAATAACTTTTAGAATATTAGATTATGATGCTCACTCCCTTTCTTTGGAGACATGAAATTGAGTATTTTAATCAATTAGTATAATTAAATTATCTTCTAATATGTGTGTTTAGTAATGTTGCATCAATGACAATTTTGGAATTCCTAGAAAAGTGGGAAAATTTTGAGAGTGGAATACAAAGTATAGTAGTAATAAAAAAATTGCAAAACACTAATAGATTGTATGATAAAAGTCTTCAATCCCAAATTTGCATAATGGTAATATTTTGTTCTTATAAAATAATATCATATTATGACATTATAAGCCAATGTGCTTTTATAGTTTTCTTGATTGTTGATCCATCAATAAGTATTACTCTTATTATGTATTTGCTATCTTTAGGTAAATTCATCAAAGTATATTTTGCTATCATTAACCATATAAACTTCTACTCACATGATTTGAACTCTATACACGCATGCACATACATGGACTTATACCCAAATTAGTTTTCTGGATTATTTTACACAAAACTTATAGAAGTAGATAAAGTGTTTAATGTAAATCAATCTTCTTTTCTTTTGACTGGACAATGCCAATTCAAAATGCTCAATAAAAATAACTAATAATGTAAAAATATCAAACACTAAATCTGTATTTACATTTTTTATTCTCAATTAACTAGTTATGAATGACAAGCTTCTAGACTTCTTTGGAGATCACTTTTATTATTCATTTAGAAAAAGAGTCAACTTTTATTCATGAAAAAAAGTGAAATCTTAGTGAAAAAAAAGCTTACTTTAAAATGTACTATTGTAAATCCTCCCAATCTAAAGCATATTTCTAACAAAAAAGACTAATGGTGCCTGATTGAGCTTGGTCTCATATTGGAAACTTCTTCATTTATGCTTATAACAATATAGTTAGATATTGACATATGATAATATTCAAAAATGAATCAAGGCTTGGCATTAAACACAATTACATATATACTAAATAATTATAAATAAATAATTTTTCCATTCTACTCTAATCACTTAACCACACCTCTAATCACTTAAAAGAGTTTCATTCACAACCTTCATAAATTTTATTCTCGACATAGGGACTTGCTAGCTTAGTGAATGGCATCTATACCACTCAACATTTGTATTTGGTTTGAATATTCTTATATGTCTAATTTTTTTTTTTTTATAATAGACATTCCAAAAGTACTACTGATATATCAACCCATTACGCTAAAGTTATATCTATTTACCTTTGTCTCATTGGTAGTCCTAGACCACTTGTGCCATATTCTTGTTTCTCAAAGATTAAGGCATCCGTCCATAAGCAATCATCATAAAACCACACTTTAGCATCCTTAGGATACTTAGAGCCATGGGGAACAACCTTCCTCAATATCCCTTTTTTAGTCCTCACTAAAACCTTCTTCGTCCATAGTCGTGTTTGCCAACACTACCATTGGGTCTGGGCTCGGAGGTTTAACCATTACGTCCTATTGACATTTAAGACTTCCTTGCAGCATAACCATATCCTTGGTCATTACATAAGAGTATTGCTTCTTTCCTTTCCACAATTTAGGGCTTTGGAATAACATTTTGAAACACCACTGCCCTACACAAGCCTTATGAGTACTCTCCCCACCTTCCGCCTTTGGGTGCCCTAGCCACGTAGCTAGAGCAAGGTTCTGATAAGCCACATTAGGTATCCAAATAAGTAATGCCACCCACACTTGGATTGGGAGCATCGACCATTCGATTTCCCGGGGGAGCTAAAGCTGGCTCTTGAATACTTCACTATGTTACTTCACTTATCTGTCCATATTCACTTTAGTTTTGGACTCTTTAGTGGTTATATCATCATCCAAGTTGTGAGTATAACTTTCCTTGGTCAAATTGACTTTTCTTGGCCAAATTGGCTCCATTGAAGTCTTCCCTCTACTATACTTTTGGAGCTCATCAAACCCTTTAGGGTTTAGGAGATGATTACTTTGGGCTTTCACCCTAGGACTTGGACTCGGACTCAATCATAAACTTGGACTTGGACTCGGTCTTAATTTTAACCTTGGACTCGACCTCAAACTCGACCTCAGACTCGACCTTGAACTCCATCTAGAACTTAATCTCGGACTCTATATTGAATCTATCTTAGACTTCATCTCGGGTCCATCTTGAACTCCATCTTGAGTCTATCTCGGGTCCATATTGGACTCTATCTTAAGTCCATTTTAGGTCTATATTGGCCTCCATCTTGAACTCTTTTTTAGACTTGTTCCTAATACTTTCATGTATCACAACACTTGCCATATGTCAGTCCTTCTTATATCCCTTTTTAAAGACTTATTCACTGATTGCTTTGTACTCATTCCTTGAGCACTTTGTTCGGAGTTCCACTCTTGCTCTTGATCTTCTAAGTTGGAGCTTTTGATTTAAACATGTTATGCTTGTTGGACTTCCATTTCGACCATTACCATATGGCACTCTTTCGGCTCCACTTTGGGGCATAGAGATTTATGTCTCACAATAACATCATGTCCTATCTCCAACCAATAAAAAATGTGTAAATTTTCAATCATATGTTGATGTCTTATATGCCCACATGGAATAAGAGAATCATAATAGGCATGGAGAAAATGTAGAATAAATATCAAAGGCATCACTAGCCATAAATAATTAATATAAGTCCCCATAAAATAAAGAAAGTTATCATCAAGGTGATATTGAGAATATAAATTCCAAAATTGCAAGTCATCAACAAGTGATATAAATTTTTTAAACCTTTATAAAGCTTTTAAATTTAAGACTTAACCTTTTAAGCCTCACAAACCTTGTCAAGATAAAGTAAATTTTGCTCCACACTTTACAAATATTGAACATTATGTACAACACTCGCCATAAAAATAGATCCTTATTCAGAAAATCCATTAATGCTAGAACAACAATCTTATTAGGAACAATAAAAGAAAGTTAATAAGGGAGAAGAGTTCAAGAAAGGGCATCAACATTAGTCATAAAAATCCCTGAACAATAGACAAACTCAAAATTATATATCTAAAGTTTCAGAGCCCACTAAGTAGTACGACCAACTAAGTTCTTTTGCTTCAATAACAAAGTAATTGCAGCATAATCACCGTTTAGTTAGATCTGAGAACCATGCAAATATGCACAAAACTTTTTGAAACCCCAAACTACTAATAAACCCTCATTCTCTGTTGTGGAGTAATTCATCTTTACTGGTTGTAATGTACAATTAATGCATGCAATAGAATAATGCTAATTAAACAAATTTGGGCTAACACCCATTCAAGATTGATATTAAAAGCATCCACGTGCAAAATGAAAAGTTGTTTATAATTAGGATATGCCAAAATTGAAAGAGTTATTAACAACATTTTGAGATCTGTAAATACCTACTCAAAATCTTCAGGTCAAATGAAAGATGATGTTGATGATTTCAACAACACTCGCAATAGTATAGTTTGATTAGAAAGATGATCAATGAAATAACCAAGATATTGCACCTTGCCTAGGAAGTGTTGCACATCATTTACACACCATAGAGTAAAGAAGTGTAAAATTGCCATAAATTTATCAAGATCAACTTTCAAATTTTCATAAGAAATATAGTAACCCAAGATAAATTGTGTCTTTAGACCCAAACACGCACTTCAATTACTTCAACTTTAAACTAACTTCTTATAGCCAATCCAACACTTTACAAACATCACAAATGTGTTCTTTTCATATCCCTTCCGAATAGATCAAAACATCATCAATGAAGGTAATAATCACTTCCAACATATTGTAAAAAATCTCATCTAATCATCTATTGGAAAGTTGTTGGAGTATTATTTAAACCAAACAATATCATCAAGAACATATAAAACCAAATGGTGTATAAAAGTAGTCTTGGGAATATCTTCCTCGGTCATTGCCAGTTGCTAGTACCTAAAAATAAAATCTAACTTGGTGAACCAACAACTTCTCCCTAGAAAATTTAAAAGATTAACAGTATGAGGAAAAGGGTACATATCTAAGATAGTCACTTTGTTTAATAGACAATAGTCAATGCAAAAGCAAATACTCTTATCAGTATTTGTCATAAGATGATTTTCACACATCTAAGGATTCCAAGACTTTTAGATAACACTCTTTTCCAACATCTTCTTGACATTTACACATAAATTTCTAATCTTTTTCAGTGATTGATGCTATATAGGAACCTTGATTGGATGAGCATTTTATAAACTTTTGAATTTAGACTTTTAAGAAGGTCACTCAACTTAGTATTATTCAACTCCAAATATCTTAAAACCCTTAACCGATTAAAAAAGGGGTGCACTTTTATTTATAGATCCTTTTCTTTTAGTTGTTTACATATCCCTAATTGGAATAGGATGATGGATTGTAATCTTATCTCTAGATAACAAGTCAAAATTGAAGAAATTAACATACTCTTTCTTAAGTTGGTCAACTATTGCAACACAAAAATTGTCAAATGATTTAAAGAGGGAATAGAGGAGCAAGATGGAAATATAGTAGAAAGTAATAAGGAGACAAACATGATGGAAACAAAAATAGAAGTGAAGAGATAAAATGGAATAAAATTGAAAAAAAAAGAAGAATTATAAAGAAGTATGAGACAAAGGAAGAAGCTTCAATGTCATATTTGGTATAATTGTGATGCAACTAATCTATACCAAGGATAAAGTTAAAAACTTGACTTGGCACCACTTGCAATGATTAAAATCTAAGCTCAAGATCACCTACATATATAGTTAGACTTGTTTGTCCCTCGTATATATATATATACTATTATTGCCATAAAGAATGA